CATTGCACTTCCCATTGAAAAAGCAATCCCACTGCACTTCGCATTGTGAAGAAAACATTCTGTCACATTTCTATAATCATGAAATCAAAAGTATAAAAATCTAAATAGGAATGAAAAAACAGAGTATAGATAACAGAATTAAAATAGTGAGCATACCATACCTCTTTACTGCATTTAATGGATGAAACACAACAATCCTTTTTCAAAAAATATTGATACAGAATTGGTCATCAGGGGTTATAGACACCAAAACTACACTCGCAGTCTACAAGCGAACGGGATCATGAGCAAAGATGAACCGAAGGCGACGTTTCGCATCCAACAACCGCAATGCGCACACCACCTCTGAGCAGCGGAGCGAGCAATATAATCTCTTTGCAACCCCCCTGACAGCGGGGAGGTGACGGGAGAGTCGACGGCAGTGGAGCCGATGACGAGTAACGATGGTAGAGATGACGGTGTAGATGACGGTGTAGACAACAGCGCGGTCGACCGCGGACGTCACAGGAGTCTATGGCGAAGCGAAGGCAACGTCGTCAACAAATACAATGGCGGGGGCTACGGCAGACGACAAGTGAGTCGATGGCGACGACGACGGCGTAGACGACGGCGTAGGAGACGGCCTAGACGTCGGCGTAGACAACGGTGACGTCGTCAGCGAAGACAACTGCGCGGGCGACGGGAGAGTCGATGGCGAAGACAACGACCACGACCACGGCGGTGGCGAGAGTGACAGCGGCGGCTGTTGGAGAAACCCGTCCCCGCCGCCGAGTGCCTCTGATGGAGCTCAGAGCCGCCGTCGCTCCACGACGCGACGCGGGAACGCCCCGCCAAGTCCTCGCCACGTCGCGGAAAGTCGCAGTGCCCTCAAGCGCGAAGCGCGGCGCGTCGTGCCGCGGAATGCCACTAACGCGGGGCGGGTCCTTCGAGATGACTCAGTGGCGTCGACCGTCCCCTCTGCTGATCTGGAGGTTCTTCGAGACCAGCCGGCGGAAGACATTCGACTAATCGGGCTAACAAGCTAGGTCGAATTCAGCCACTGCCTGGAGAAGAATTCTAGCGACCGGCTGCTCTGATCGGTAGTTTTCGTATCTTCTCCGATAGATTCCAGGAGAATGCCGGAGCAGTACCCAAACAGGCGGGCTAATGAATGGGTGCGATCTTTCCTTTCTCGTACACTACTCATGGAACTAATGGACTAATGTAGTTGGAGCGACCGGAAACACTATAGACTCACTTGAAGTTCTTACATTTTTGAAAAAAAATATTTTTCGAAGGTACTTAAATACAGTTGTATGAGCAGCACGTTTAAGATTGTAGCAGTGCAGTAGGTAGAAGGGGGCAGGGAAGCCAGTCACTAGTTTAAGAGTGACGCCAATTAGAACATTTTATAGATGAAATTATATAATTATTTATTTGAAAATATTTCACTTATTTTGAAACATATTTTTAATGTATTATAAATAAATGTATTGAGCATATATTCTTTCATTTTCAGTACATAATGTATAAACTATTCAGTAACAGACAGGTCTATATTGAATTTATGGCGGAAGGGTGGCGGGGGGAGAGGGATACCATTAGTTTTGCTCCGGGAGAGACCAACAAGCTACACCACTGGATTGTAGACAGATCTGATTCTAATGTGGTAAGGCGCGCAAAGTGCGCTACGAAGACACGCCTTTCGAACTTTTAGCAGCTTTATCACGTGGAAGAATAACGTGCAAAGGCGCCCGGCCGAGCGGAGTGTCTGCCGCCCCCGCGGGGCCTTGGCGATGGCAGCGCCCGGCAGCGCCCGCGGCGACCTTCGCGGGCGGACACTTGGCGCGGCGCACAGACGGCGGCGAAGGTGGTGGAGAAGCAAAGAACGGCCGGCGGGAAAGACCAGGAGAGGAACCGCGGGGCGGAGCGTGGCGGGGCCGGGGCCGGCGCCGGGAGCGAGGGCGAGGGCGAGAGCGAGGGCGAGAGCGAGGGCGAGGGCGAGGGCGAGGGCGAGGGCGAGGGCGAGGGCGAGAGCGAGAGCGAGAGCGAGAGCGAGAAACCATTGACAGTGATGGTGAAAGACTATGGTGCACTGTCAGAAATTTCATAAAATATAATGTAATGTATTGGGCTTAAGTCGATCCGGTGGCCGAGATCACTAAGTCAGTAGTGCCGCAGCGATCTCGTACCGAAAGATCGCGGGTTCGAGTCCCTCCTCGGGCATGGTTGTATTCTGTTCGTCCTTTCACCCCCTATCATCATCATCATATCAGGGAAGGCAACGGGAAACCCCCCTGAATAATTTATCCCAAGAAAACCCGTTATGGGTCACCTAACTTCCGTATATGGAAGATAGGACCAAAGAAGAAGATTGTGCTTAATGCAACCTGATGTCATCTTGAACATTAAATTTTGTAATGCACAAGTTAAAATCAGTGTAGATTTAATGTAGAGGTTCTCCCGTTTCCCCGAGCTCTCATCATTTATCTCATGTTTTCATAATCACCAGTCCATCAAGTTCATTTATTCATTCATTCCAGATATGATCATAAAACTCTGACTCTTGCATCCTAATGTACACGTGTACGTTATATCTTAAGTGTGTTCATGGTAATTACTTTAATATACATTTATTAAAACAAAGCGGGTATTTCTAACAGTGTAGAAGACAGCCACGCCACGCGGGAAAGGGTTATGGAGGGTGCCGATTCTTCCTACATAATAATAAAATATCACTTATGTTCTGCAATCATTTCATTGCTATGTCTTTGGGTTGCAAACACTAGCTGAACTAATATTCCATTTACAGCCTATAGATATCGTAAATTAATGATTTTGAGGTATATCACACCTCGTCGCAATGATGTGTAAAACGTTTACGAATGAGTTTCGCACAATGCAGCGTAAAAAGTCCTCCCATAGTTTATTCTCTGATCGCCTTCTGTCAAATGTTCACTTATCGAGCTCTCAACACAAAGACAAACTGACAACTACGACACTGACGGTAAAGGTTGAATCAGTAGACATCAACGACTTTGTTGAGGATATCTCTAATTGTGCGCAAGTGCGATGGCAAAGATGAAGGTTAAAACATGCGTCAGCGTAGACTTGAATAGTTTTCTGTAAAGTGTTCAGTTGTTGAACTCCCCCAGCGAAAGAATTTCTAGCTACGACACGTTTAGTAGAGGTTGAATCAGTCAAAGTCAATTACTTCGTTTAACGCATCTTTAATTGGGTGCATGTGCAATGGCACGGATCAAGGCTGCAATGAATTCAGAGAACACGACATTCCAGCCAATGACGACACTACACTCAAGGCAATTTACGTAAAGACTTGCCAGGCTGTTGTTAGACTGCATTTCGCAATCTGTTTGGAATGCGCACACTAGTTCCTTGACAATGTCGCGCACTCTTCTTACTCCAAAGCCTCCAGCAGATTTGCACTATCTATAAATCGACCACATTGAGCGAAGGAATTACTAACATTCTGCTGTAAAATGTTTGATACGTATATTATACGATGTTTTGATAATTTCGAAAATTTTATTTAGTTATTTCTTATACTTCTGTGTCCATTTATCTTAGTGATAATTAACCTATTAGACTTCACAGCAAATACATCATCTCTTTTCATACTTCTAACAGTTGTTGCATTTACACTAGTGTTATTCGATAATACGACTAAATATGACATCCTCACATCAGAGACAATGCCACAATCTTTAAAAAAAAGGGGGGCGTTAAAAGGGAAGTTGAAAAATGACCTTCATTTAGCACAAAAGCTTCATTTTGGATAAAAGACATTTCAAAGCACGTACGACACACTAGACAAATTACATTAAATTTTCTAAACTGACCACCTTCAAAACCATAAATTTTATGAAGCAGTATTTTAATGAATTTAATTAAACACTTTGTAATAAAGTAACTGTTAATATTAAAACAAAATAACAGAGCGACAAAACGCGAATAAAATTATCACTGCAAAGTAACTAAGTTAATTATGAAAAAATTAATAACTCCCACGTGAAGAGCTCTCCAACGACTTTCCGAGCTGACCACATCAAACATTTTGGAACAAATGAAGTACAAGAGACGTAATTTTTCGTGTTTATATAACTTTCCACGTGTCGAGAGAAAATACTGTCCTCGTTAATTTATTAATATACATACCACTAGAATAAAGTAATTAACATGCGTATTTTTGAAGATCTCTTCACTTCTTTAAAGTATAGAGTGTCATTCAGAACCCAATATGGTTAATTAAAACTATTCCAGTTAATATTATGCATGTTCAATATCATATATTTTCATGAGTTAAGGGGAAAGTTTCAACGAAAACTCAATCATGAAGGGAGGTTGGAAATTTCCATTAGTCATTTTCTCAGAATACAAATACACTCATTATGAACCAGTAACTTTACAGGGCCACACGTAAGTAGCGAAGGGTTCAGAAACTGAAAATCGTGAATGAACGCTCCTCCAGAGATAATTTCTTCATATTTACTATTTTACAACAATACATTTAGATTTTTATTTCGCATATTTAACGAATTTTCTTTGAAGGGCGTGGCCTCCATGCTTATATTGCATGGAGTAAATCTTGGCGGATAATAATTATGTATCAACATCAAGTCTTACAAATTCATTATTATACACTTAAGTTTCTTGAAATTGTCCTGTATCTCCAATTTCACACTGAATATAATGCTTAACACAATTGCTCTGAACAGGCGAACCAGTTATCACGTCACACACTTTTGTCATTTCGTAATATTTGTTACTTCATACGTCAAGATATGAAATGTTTACGGATATGTAATTTTTTTTTTCACAAATACTAATTTTGTTGTTGTTTTGTATCTCATTGATAGTAAAGGTTCTAATTCCCCCTTTACTACCTAATTCCCCCTTTACCCCTAACTGACATAGTCGACTCTGATAAAAACGTTAGGGAACTAACGCTTGTTTTAGATGATTTCTTTTGGCGGCAATGTTATTCTTTGCTATTAAATTTGCACGAAAATGTGAAACGCAAAATTATTTTGAGTGAAATCATTGTTGCATATATCTTGCCAAGTATTTGTTCAGTATCCCCCGTCCATGAAATCTGGTAACTATTGTCCAGCAACTTCAAGGTCAAACTCACTCCATGACCAAGCAACGCCGCGAGACGCTCGGATCCGTGCACAAGCAACCCAGCTCCACCGCAAGCTGGGCGTTCCTGCGAGGAGACGATCACGCGTTCCTGCGAGGAGACACGTCTGGCGGGCAGTGCTCAGCCGCCGAGCCGCATTCCTTGGCGTTGCAGGTACCGCGGACGTCCGCCAGAAGGCGCGGTGGGCTCCTCCCGTGGCTCCTTCGCCACGGCCGTCGCTGCCGCCTCCGCCTCCGTCCCGGCCGCTCCCGCCGCCAGCGCCGGCGAACCGCCGACCGCGAGTTCAATGACTGGCCGACAACGGTACCAGCGACGGCGGTGGCGGTGGCGGCGGCGAGGCTCGCAGACCTGAGGCGCGCCACGGCGTGGCGTGGCGTGGCGGTGGCAGCGGCGACGGGCGTGGCAATAGTGATACACGCATCAGTGGCGACACAAGTTGACGAAGGTGAATGTGGAGACGGCGGTGGCGAAGGTAGTGGGGACGGCAGTAGCGTTGGCGGGGATGGTGGTGAACGCGTGTGGTGACGATGAAGGCGAAGGTGGCGGCTCGTGCACGCTGAAGAGCAACAGTCACGCCTACCGGCCGGCCTCGCGCGGCATTTCCTGCCGACCTCGCCGCCGCCACAGGCACGGCGTTCCATGGGCCTTGCGCGGGAAGCGTTCCGCGAGGGCATTCCCTCCCACGGACCTCGGTGCAGCGGCCACATGACCACCTCCACCTTCCCCTTGCTTCTTTATAAAGATCTTCACCTGCTCGTTTCCCGCGTTTTGTGTTGTCTCAATTACTGGAGATTAATGCAAGAGTAATTGACCTTGCCTTACAACACAAGGAAATGGATATGAGCAACTCTCATAAACCTTATCAACTCCTGGAATCGACTACGTCTCTAAAATACATTTAACAGCTGTTTTGAGTATTTCTAGGTTAAAAATTCCCAGGCAGATTACTAGAGTTACCAGGCCCTTTCAACGCATTGGAATCTAAGCTATGTGGCAAGGATGTTTTCACTTGCTGAGCGATCTGCAACGCCGAACCAACGGGTAGCCGATGTAATTCTGTGAAAACATTATTCATCGTTGCCGAGGAAGGTGTTCAGTCTTGAAGCTACGCATTAGTTTCTTTCTTCTTGGCTGCCAAAATATAGCACGAGTATTGCACTGGGAGAACAACAGCTATCATAAGAAGGTGAACATTCCAATTGGGAAGAGAGGACGAAAGCACGTTCAGTGTAATCTTACAGGGCAATATTCCAAACATGGAAGTTATTTTGTACATAACAAACAGGATGCAATACATTAGCACATTTTTTTCATGATCGTGTTAATAATTGGTCTTGGCGCCGACTTCTAATTATTTTACAGGTGCGAAATTAAATAATTAAATATGGTAAACCGTACAACATTCAAGTATTACATACTTGTATGAATTGCGATTATAAAATAAAGGTCGAAAAATAGTCAAAAATACGAATTTGTTAGTGGAATTATTTTTTTTTTATTTTTGCATTGTTAGTCGATTCATTATTATTTAAAAAATAAACATATACAGTTTCTTCATATGGATAAAATTTTTAGGAAATCGGAGGTACACCCTCAGGAATTCGCCACAACACGAGGCGAAAGAAATTGTGCAAATCGTCGGTCAAACGCACGAGGTCTCCGCGCCCCGCAGCCAGTGCGATCGCCCGGCTGCAGCCGCGTGCAGACGTTGCCACGTTTCAGCGGCGCGGAGGCGGGGGCGGGTGCGGAGGAGGAGGTGGGAGCGGGCCGGCCGGGCAGGCAGGCGTCTGCGGCACGGCGCGGAGGCGGGCCCGCGCCGACCGGTCGACTCATTGCGGGCCGCGCCGCCCAGAATCCAACTCCACTTTCTCCTTCGGGCGGTCGCGTTTGTTTCTCCCGCCCCTCGGCTCGGGCAGCTCGCTCGATGAGTAAGCTTTCGGTTGAACCAGAGCCGTTCAAGCATTTGGCGGACTGACGCTTTTCGTGTGTGTGTGTGTGTATGTGTGAGTGAGTGTGTATGTGTGTGTGTATGTTGTGTGACTGAGTGTGTGTGTGAGAGAGAGAAAGAGAGAGTATGTAAAACGTTCTAAGGATGATTCGCTTCAGTCGAGTTACTTCAGCGATAGTACGTTAAGCAACTACGGAAAAATGAGAGTGGTCGGTGAACTCACTGAAGTTCCAGGCGTAATTATTTGCACTGCTCTTTTTTAAAATTAACCGAGAGTAAGGCGAGATGAAGGTGAAGCTTTGCTTTGGAGAGACGTGCAGTCGCACAGTGAAGCACTACCGATTCAGAGTAAAACGTTCCAACGTGTTCAGTTCACATTTGATCGCATTGATCAGTCAAATAAGTGCTAGAAAATGTATAGGATCGTTGAACTCTCTCAAGCTAATTGAGGAATAATATCCATCGTTTATTCTGAAAGCAGAACCTCCCTTGAAAAGGTACAAAGGATGGAACCTGACCAAAGAGAGTTCGGCAATTCTCACAAACAATAGCTAACGCTAAGAATTTGGTTACTCTGGTTTTCTGTATTTCGTCGTCAAACATATTTTGATGCTTTTCTATAATATTGCAATAAAGAAAAGAGATGTTATACCATTACAACCTTCCAAAACTCACCCCTTTCTAAAGCCGAAGATTTTTTCTGAAGGAATAAATCCAATTATATTTTCTAATATTGGATTCTCACATATGTGTCAATATCGCTATGCTTATATTTACGTTTGCATTGTGAATGGGCCTTTAGGGTCCAGCTTCGGCTTTCGTCTGCTATTAATCGCAATTACCCATCAGAGCAATCGCATGAATTCCAGACAGTGGTTACCTCTTATGCAGAGCTAATATCGAAAATCCTCCACCGCCGAGTCTCGAACCCAGTCAGAGTCGCTGCAGAGACACTGTTAATTCTGCCATCAAGCCATCGCAACCGGTCCTGCTTCCAGGAGACCGGCACCCAAACAGCATTTCCTTACGCCGCCGTCCACAAACGCAAAGTGAACACGTAATACTTCCTCCTCCTCAATATGCGCCGTGGCGCGAGAGGAAACAATACACGCGCGCATACCTGGAAACGGGAATTCGCACGGAAGCGACCGCCGGCGCTCGGCGGGCGGAACGGAACGGAACGGCGCGGCGCGGCGCGGCGTTTATAAATGCATCGCGCGCTGAAGCACGCCGTAGTTGCGGCGGGCGGGGGCAGGAGCCGGCTAAGCCAAGCCGTTCAAACGACGCACACTGGGGCCAGAGAGGGGAAAAGTTGGGAAAAAGTTTTTTTTAAGGATTTTTTTAGAAATAAAAAAAACATGTTACAATTAAATAATGACTTGTTCAATTGTTTCAAATATATAATATTTAGTTATATAACCTCGGAGTAAAACCTTTCATCATGTCACTCTTCTTCCAGAAGAGAATTTCTATTTGAAGGAATTAACATTGGTGTAACGTCCAGGTCAAATGCATTTGTTACATTTTTTCTCTATTCCATTCCTGAAATCAGTGGGTCAGATGCAATAAACACTCAGCAAAGCAGTTCCTTCTTAGTTTGCTCTCTTGATCTTTTTCTGGTAAAACTTTCTCAATCTTTTTCTTCTTTATTTTATTTTCAAAGTGTGTACGTAGATACCTCCTTGTTAATAAAGAGCTCTCAGTACCAGACCATGAAAGAAGAATAAAATAAAATGAATATTGTAGGTAGAAATCTAACAAAACTAGGTATAATTATAAACAAAGTACCTTAACGCAAAACGAGGCAATCATGGGCAAACTGTGATTAATATTTTGAAAACTAGATGAATTCCAGAATCAGATTCAGTTAAAATCGCAGCCCAGATGTGACCGGAAGGTATCTAAAGGACAATATGAAAAAACGGATTTCAAAAATTCATTCCGTTGCGACAAGTGAAGTTTTTACTTGGAATTACCAAATTATTATTTAAGGAATATGTTTTTTTACTAATACATATTTAATGTACACACATTGAAGTATCCTGTAAGTATGTAAGGAATATGTATTTTACTAATTTAGATTTAAAGTACACACCTCGATGTATCTTATCCATAGCACATACGAGTCTGCCGCTCGAGACAGCAAAACTATTTACATCGAAAAGCACACCTCTCTTCTCATGCGAAAGCGATGACGTGCGCCGCGCGACACTTGCGCAAGTTCAATCTCGCACTGAAAGGAGTGACGTGATTCCCAATTCTTTCCCTAATAGGGGAACGAAGAAGGAAACATTTCGCCATCCCTTTCTCGTGAAATGAAGCTTCTGAAGCATATTGTGACGTCATGGATACTCACAGCGACCACAGACACAGAGCTTTCGTATAACAAATATATTTATTAACAAGAAAACAAAACAAATATATACACTTAATAATCTACTTAAACCCTAGCTCTGATAGACCTACTATCCCTGATCGCGGGGAGCGATCCAAAACCGATTGAAAGATGGTTTTGATTGTGGCATTCGCCATCTTACTTTTGAAGCGCGCACAAAAGCCTAGCTTCCGTGACCTGATGTCACGCTGGACACAAAGTCCGTTTACTGGCGGCACCAACGGCTGGTTTGCTCGATCGCAGGAGCGATCTAATCCGATTGAGAATCGGCGTGAATCGTGGCACTCAACCGCACTCTTCACCTCGGAGCACGCACACAGCATCGCTCCCCCGTGACCGCAGTCACTCAAGGACAACAAGTCGCAGGCTTCGTCAACTAATGACTCCAGCCTCGCGAGCCTGGCTCGCATATGCACCGTCTTGGCGCCAAGTTTTGTGCACACGCACGAGGTTTCTCCCACCGTCTCCAGAACCTGCCTACTGGCTCCGTACACTCTGTTATATAGGCGAGGCCCACGTGACTCCTACGGTCACGCCACCCCTGCGCTTGTTTTAACAGTGAAAAGCTCTTATAAGCCGGAAGACACCCAAAGCCTTGTGTCTCCGTCTTGCCGCGTTTCTTCCCTTTACGGAAAACCCTACTTCCTGGTGCGAGACTAATCCGGGCAAAGCGTCCCCAAATAGATGCCATGAGGCACGCTGGCTAATACGTTACAATATTTTGATTTTTTTTTTTGCCAAGTGTCCCCTATTTTGGCCCCACTGTGCGGCGGCGGCGGCGGAGAATGAGAAGGACGAGGTGGAGGAGCGCAGCGGAGTGGCCGCGCCGGAACAAAGCACGCGCCACACGACGCCTCGAAAGAGGCCAGGCCGGAAGCGCAGCCCGTTAGCCGCCCCGCACCGCGCCGGGTCGGGTGGGGTTGCGACCCGCGGGCCAATGGACGCTGAAGCACTTGAAGTTCTACCTACAATATTCATTTTATTTTTTCTTCGTTCATGATCTGGTGTTTATAAACAAGGAGGGATCTGTGTAATGTTATTTAACATACTGAAAAGAAAAATAGAAGGACTTGCAGTTGAGGGAGTTTGTGCCACCTCGAATGTCAAGCACTATCGATCGTCTGCGCACGCGCAATTCAAGTTTCGTATCACTTCAGTGCATCTGCGCATGCGCAGAAGATCGAATGGACGCTGAAGGACTTGAAGTTCTACCAACAATATTCATTTTATTTTTTCTTCGTTCATGATCTGGTATTTATAAACAAGGAGGGATATGTGTAATGTTATTTAACATACTGAAAAGAAAAAAAGAACTTGCAGTTGAGGGGGTTAAACACTACCAATCTTCTGCGCATGCGCAATTGAAGTTTCGTATCACTTCAGTACATCTGCGCATGCGTAGAAGATCGAATGGACGCTGAAGGACTTGAAGTTCTACCTACAATATTCATTTTATTTTTTCTTCGTTCATGATCTAGTATTTATTAACAAGGAGGGATCTGTGTAATGTTATTTAACATACTGAAAAGAAAAATAGAAGGACTTGCAGTTGAGGGAGTTTGTGCCACCTCGAATGTCAAGCACTATCGATCGTCTGCGCACGCGCAATTCAAGTTTCGTATCACTTCAGTGCATCTGCGCATGCGTAGAAGATCGAATGGACGCTGAAGGACTTCAAGTTCTACCTACAATATTCATTTTATTTTTTCATCGTTCGTGATTTGGTACTGAGAGCTCTTTATTAACAAGGAGAGATATGTGTAATGTTATTTAACTCACTGAAAAGAAAAAACGGAATTTCAGTCGAGGGGGTTTATGCCACCTCGGAACGCAAAGCACTATCGATCGTGTGCGCAAGCGCTATTGAAGTTTCGTATCACTTCAGTGAATCTGCGCATGCGCAGAAGATCGATAGTGCTGTCAGCAATAGCGTGCACAAACTCCGTATTTTACTTTTCGAAATGAGCGTAATTGGTATCGATACTGCTAAATCGATTGGGTCTCGACAAATTGAACTAGTACCGGTTCATTTAGCCTTAATACTGAATCTGGGTATGAGCATCGGCATAATTTATTGAATGTTTAGTATCGATACCAAATATTGTCTCTCAATACCTCTTCGCAGTCCACAGAACTCGCGAGTACGATACGACGGGAGAGTGAGAGAGAGTTATCAAAAAAACAGTTACAAAATTCATTTACACCAAACATTTTCATAATTTTATTGAGCCGGATGACCACAAGTGCGTTTAAGATATGTTCACATATACATTCCTTGCAAACTATTAGTAATAGTGTGTGTTTATTTTTCTACTGGCTATATTTATACTAGCTTTTTATACTGGCTTTCAATAGCTATATGTGCAACAATAAATTTCGCATGTCTGTAAACATGTGTGTCACGAATTCACGAACCAATGAGTGGTTCGATATTCTTTTAAGCTGACATGGATTTTTCTTAAAGTCATTAAAAACGACGTGGTTTGTGTAAAAAATATTTTTCTTTCTTTGTTTTTCTTTGATGAGTGGTCGACTGATCCTAGACTATTAGAATAATTTATTTGCAAAAACCATCTCGAAAATAAATATAATGAACTTAAATACACAATATAACTGTCACATTCATGTTTCA